CGGAACCTCTCTTTGTTGGACCAGTGGTGATGTCAAGCCGTGAGCTTTGACTCGGAGCTGAGACAGACCAGTAAACATCAAATTTTCCGCATAACACCCCCAACCAACCATAAGCTGCTGGCTGCCATTCGCTGTAATGCCTGAGGGGCCGTGGGCGTCAATCACTCACAGCAGTCGTGGTCGACGAGTCGCACACTTCTAGTCGTCATACTCATAGTGTTATGGTGTGTGAAGAGAGTGCGAGGAATTTGATGTCCTCTGATCGGTCTCAGCTCCGAGCCACAACTCACGCGAGTTGACATCACCACTTGTCCAACACCACTATACTATCTCGGACAACGAACACCGTGCATATAGAAGGCGTCAAGAGCCGTATAACCTAGCCGCCTGGACTACACGGGACAAATCCGCCATCCCGTGGGTAAGTGAGAACCGTGATGCCGTCATTCGCTGTGATGCGTGAGGGGCCTGGGCTCAATCACCACAGCAGTCGTGGTCCACATCACACACTTCTTTGTTGTACTTGTGTCCGATCCAAAACTGACAATCTGAAATTGTCACCCCCTCACGGCCCAACAGGCTGAGACTAACCGCAGACACTGTAATCACGAATGGTCCCTGGCTCTATCGCCACAGCTGCCACGGTCGACATCGCGCACTTGTTCCTCATAATTATGTCTGTCGCCACTGATCAAGCTGCTACCTCCGCGGCTGAACATTAAATAACATCCGGCTTAGAGATTATAATAATATGCGCGGAAGAATGGCTCTCACCACAGCACGACGCACGGGCCGGATGAATTGCAGGTGATCCTGCCTCTGCACACGGCGGGACGCCTCCTGCACCAACTCTCTTGGTGGCGGCGGCCCCTGCGGTCGGCCAAGCGCCTCCAGTTGGGCCGACGGCACCGACTCTCTTTGTGGCGCCGGCGGTGGCGACTCCCCTGGTCTTCGACAAGGATTCGAGTGCCCTCGTGCCGCCCCCGAATTGGTGGATAGCCGGTTGTTATGGGGCCGAATGGCCCGACGAGCACCTGCTCGTCAAGGGATGTGGCATCACGGCCGACGAGCACAATGAGGCTGTGATGAAGGCTAAGGAGTTTGATGAGTGGGCGTGGAGGCTGAAGTGTGTGACCGGGGTCACGATAAAGGTGTTTCGTGGGCAGGTAGCCGAGCTCGGCCGTTTCAAATGGGAGAGCGAGTGAGTGCTGGTGTCCCACTGTCGGCTCGCTCCTAGCCACGAGGAGACGGTGGAACGGCCAAGGATAGCCTACGGCGATCGGCCAGCGAAGGCGAAACGATGCAAGCGTGGCCACGCTCACCCCCACGTCGTGGCCTTCATGAACTCAATTACGCTTGAGTCGACAGAGCGCTACTACCTTCGGCGAGTGGTGGATTACGCGGAGCCCTTAGTGGAGGTAACTGGTTAACCGCCTCCGCTATCCGGAGCCGGTACACACGACGCCACAACTCTCGATTGTGGGAGAGTCCACCTGTGTGTTCTCAGGTATCAAGGAACTCCGCGCGGATCACGGGAATGGCAGCGGTCGGCAGCGGCGTTGTCGGTGGTCCCAACGTGGGCGTGGTCGGCGGTCGGTTCGGGAGGAACGAACATTTTGACAATCGTAGTCGTAGTCCGCTGTTCTTAAGTCTTGCCAGTACTTCTACTAGTAATTCGAAGATTCGTTCTAGTGTCGCCGCGTGGATGAGGATATCATCCAGACATACTAGTACCCCACTCCAATATAGGTCCCCGAACAGGTTCTCTGCCATGAGTGAAGTGACGGCAGTCCGCCGGTCTGTTTGTACATATACGGGTTTACGATGGCAGACGACTGACCCATTTGACGAAAGCACGTGTTGATGGCATCTGAGTGGCCGGTGATTGACGGAAGAATGAAGTGCTAACTGTCGAGTGGCGTGTGGTTAGCAAGAGTACGCGCGGACGGCACCCCAGTGGGCCACGGTTTAACAGCTGGACTAGGAGAGTGCTTGTCTGTCCTAAACCCCAAACCCTAAAGCCAAAAACTTGATGCCTAGACCCTAAACTTTGATGCCCAAATCTTAATGCCTAAAACTTGATGCCTAAAACCTAAAAGGAGTGCTTGTCTGTGATCAACTCAAACTCATACTAACCCATGATTCTTGAGCAAAGTTCACCGGTGGCCATTGGCCGGCGGTGGGTGGTCTCCAGTCGTGGTCGCCAGCGGTTGGCAGCAGTCGTGGTCGCCAGTCGGTTGGCAGTGGTTGTCGGCAATGGTAGGTGGTCGGTGGTCGAAGACAAGAACAGTCTTGGAGGAATTTAAGGCCCGTGCTGAACGGTGCTTGGCGAATCTGGACGGTTGAGGATCGCGCGGCTGTGCCGACCACTGCCGACCACGCCCACGTTGCGACCACCGGCAACGCCGCTGCCGACGCGCTAAAGGCCCCCTCCGACGTGAAAGGATTACGACAAGTG